ACAAGTGAAAAGGCTGTGCACAGGGGTGTCGATTTCTCAAAATGGTTGGGGGTGCTCAACCCCTGCACCGGGTGAAAGATTGCAGCTTTGCCATGGGCACAACCGTACAAGGCATGGTTGGGTATCCCCATAAGGTACTGATAATCCCGGGATTTCCACTAATATTTCCCAAAGGTTGAACGTTCTTCAAAATCATTCTGCTCGTCCTAGTACTTGGCTACCTCATTACATAAACATCTTTCCGAAAAAAAACGCGTACATTTGCCGGCAGCTCGGCAGCAGCCCCGGCACCTCTGTAATAAGGTGACAAACCGGTGATCGCGATTAGCACCGGTGCAGCAGCCCCTGCGGTCCACAGGGGCGGACATTGCGCGGGAGGCAACGGTATAGCTACGAGGCTCTGGCGTTAATCAGACGATCGCAATAATCGTTGAAAAAAAATGACAGGTGATCGCATTTCGATATTTATGGGTTTACGATTTTCCTCAGTGGCGTAGCCAGGTGGGCCCGTGAGGCACATGCCCCCCCCCCCCCATTAGGTTCAGGGGCCCATCGGGTTATTCGGGCCTGAGGGGCACTGCGGCGCCAATTGGCCGCTGAGGGTCCAGGTTGGCTATATTTGGACTCAGAAGGGCCCCACAGGGCTCGTAAGAACACCTCATGGGCCCACAAGTACCAACATTAAGATCTCCATAAGGGCCCAAGCCAGCCTCTGAGGGCCACTTGCCGGCCTCTGGGGGTCTTAACCGGCCTATAGGGGGCCAGCTCTAGGAGCTGCACACCCGCCTGTAATGGCCCCACACCCATTTCTCTGAGGGCCCCTATAACGGCGACTGTGAGGGCCCTCACCGGCACCCCTGAGCGCCACACCGGCGTCTCTGAGGGCCCCACACCCCTAACTCTGAGGCCCTACACCAATGCCTTTAAAAACCCTACATGGGCGGTTCTGAGGGCCCTTGTCAGTTACCAGCGACCCTGACGGCCCTACACAGGTGACTCGGAGGATCCCAGCGGCGTCTGAGCGCACCATGCCAGTCTCTGAAAACCACACAAGGCTCCTGAAGGCACCGGTGACCTCTTGATATCTTCTTGTCGGCCTATGAAGGGTCCGTTCCGTAACAGCAGTTCTGAGGGCCCCACGCGCGCCTGTGATGGCCCTAAACCAGTGTCTCTGAGAGCCCCCACAACGGCGCCTGTGAGGGCCGTCACCGGCGACTGTGAAGCCCCCACACCGGCGCCTCCAGTCCGAGGGCCCCACATTGCCATATCTGAGGGTCCCACACTAGTGCCTCTTAAGGCCCTATATCGGTGGCTCTGAGGGCCCAACATCGTAGCTTCTGAAGGCCCCACAAGTGCGCATGTGACGGCCACCCTGCCACCGGTGACATTTGAAGGCCCCACACCGGCGACTGAGGGCTCCATCGGCGTCTAAGTCCGTTCCGGTCTCTAAAGACGACCCCACAGGGTTTCTGAAGGTACCACCGGCCTCTGATGGCCCTTAGCCGGCCTCTGAGGGCCCGTCGCCGGTCTCTGGAGCCCCCTGCTGGCTTGTAAAGGGTACGCGCCAGCAGCTCTAAGGGTCCGACACCCGTGTACGACGGACCCACACCAGTGTCTTTACAACTTAACGTCTTTTTTCGCTCTTCTTCTTAAAACTAACTTTTCTGGCTTTACATCTTTATTTCATGCTTTGTAAATTGCGTAATTGTTTTATTTTTATTAGTGAAAGACTGCAGAACAATTATTTTCCTCAAGCAGAGTTAGTGGGAGTTATTGAGGGACAAAATCATTGGGGGTGCCCGGAAAACCATTGGGGGTGCTCATTTGAGCATTGGGGGTGCTGCAGCACCCCCAAAGGTATACAAATCGACACCCATGGCTGTGCATTAGGTACAGCGACAGACTTCTCTATATAAAGGTCTGCGGGCCGGTAAGTACTTTTGATTCGAGGAGTGATGGCGGCCATTAAAACATCTGGGATACAGAACCCTGCCAATACCTACATGGGTCGAATATTTAAACTGTTAGTTATTTTGTGGCTTCGGAGCACAGTGGTATAGCGCAGTAGCGGCGGAACACATTCAATTAGAGTAACTGTGGGGAAAACGCACCCCTGGGTTAAACGCCTCCCCTAAAAAAAATCGTAGATCTTATCGACGGATAGGTGGTTTATACTGTCTTTCAGAACAGTCAGCTGCTTGTTTACGTAGTTCTCTATTTCCGATTCTGCGTCTTGAGGAGCAGCGTGGGTAGGTGCTGATGTTGGTTTTGGGTGTTGTTTTTGTTGTTTTTACAAAAGATTCCTAAGCTTTTGATGCCCTCTTTATATCACAAAACTTGCTATTGTGCACATCACTCAAAACTGCGTTTTATTGTCATTCTGTTGAATTTATTATGCTGCGGCGTTAGTGGCGCGTTTTTTGTCAATATTTTGTTGACCGGAAATGGAGTGGATGGAGAAAGACGCCTACTCGATGCATGGGGCAAGACGCCCCCAGTTTTCTGAAAGGGGGGCGTTTTGCACGGTGGTGAGAGTGCAGGGTAGCGCCCTGTAGGTCGGGGCCGAAAAGGCCTCTCCCTGTCCTTTTTTGCTGATATATCCTAAACGACTGCAGATATCGTCACCAAACTTTCAGGACTCCTCAGGGCATCCATTTTACACATTGCAACAACATTTTATTCCAAAGGCTATGATAGGTTGACCACAAATGACGTCAGAATGACGTCAAGTTCTGCCATGTTCATCATTTTCTGTTGATGGATGGGGTGGGGGCGCTTTGCACATGGGTGTGGGCGTATTACCCAGGGTGTGGGGCAAAACGCCCTTTTGTAAGGGTATGCGGAAACCTTTTTGGGGGGTTAAATACCACACGCAAGTGTCTTTTCTTGGTCTCAAAGCGTAGTAAAAAGAATGAGCTACATGATGGTGCCCAAAGGTTTGAGTAATCTGGGTTGGGTTGAGTGTCAGAAGGTTTCGCGCTTAATGGGGGCGTTTTTGACCTATTCACCCTAAGGGGGGGGGGGGGGCACTGCCGACTTTTGGTCCCATTCTTTCTATACGACGCCCATAGGGCTGATGTTAAAATGCCAAAATCAAAGGGGGGCACGGTGCCCCGGTGCCCTCCCCGTTCCGCCGCCTTTGGTAGGTATAACGACGTAACGACTGTACGTATGTCTTATAGGTACATCATAAACATAACAGCTAAGCAGCTCATTGTTTACATTGATCTACAACGCTTTATTAAAGATAGGTAGGTAGGTACTGGACTCGCTTAATGACAATCACTTTTCAAAAACGAGGAATAATCTAGGCTTCGGCCCTCGATAGCAATATTACATAACCAATGCATGTTAGCATTCTTTAGATAGCCAATGAGAGCTCGCATAATTCGTACATAGCCAGGGCTGCAAAGTCGTGTCGGGGCTGTGCCAAACAGGAATAAATTAACTACATTACTCGATACCCTTCCATTGTTATAGCAAAAGGTATTCAGCATCCAGGAGGGACTGCCAGGGCAATGCTATAGTGCAGGCATTTCATTCGCTTCATCAGTATACGGTTTACGAAATAGAGCTCTTTTCTGGCCGAGCGGATGCATATTGCATACATTCAGGGCATATGCGTGGAGCGCATGGATAAGGCATGCATATAAGGACTGCTTCCTTGCATTTGACGTCAGTGCCAGTCCTATAAATCATCCAGACGGTATGCGTAGTGCGTACCCTGGGTGTGCGTATTGCGCATTTATACCATGCGTGCAACTCGTTCCAAGTAGACTGCTGGAACGTGAAGCCAACTTGAAGTTCCAAGGCTATGAATGCTATTTATTTGTTCGGTTCGGTTGCAGGTACAATGCTGTATTGACTGAAAATACAGACCAGTCTGTCAAGATGAGAAAGGAAACGTATTCAGACCGATTTAACTACTGTAGAACAACATGCCGGACTGTTGCCATTTAGCAGATCTAGAACTGGACAGATCTCCCTCCGTAAAAGTGACGATCTGTAAAGTCATTTGGACTGGCCTTACCCGCCCCTCCCACAAACTTGTTTTAGATTTCTTGTTTAGATATACCAAACTTTTGGACCATCTGTTCCAACTATTATCGGAGTGGCTTTATAATGGCACCCTCGAGAGGTTAGAGTCGAACAACTGCTTTATCGTCATCTGTACACATATTTATCTTAGCTCGCCGGATATGTCACTCGCTGAACGAATTCCTCGGCACTGTTCCCATGTTGACATCAGGTTTTAGTTGCCCCCCCCCCCCCCCCCAGTCCCTACCGGTACAGGTCCTCTGCTCACTGACACGATCTTTGAACGTAACGAGGTAACGTTCAACAGGCAAAATGAGCGGCAACGGCAGCAATATTGGACTGAACGACTCTTCAGTGACTCAGTCCAATACACCCCAGTTATAGGAACTGATACTCTTATAATCAGCACACGGCAATGTTCGATTATCACCCGGTGCGGGTACCCACTCCGTCATCGGCCGCTATAACCGAAGTCTCTAACGCAGCAGACTGGAGCGGCCTGTTGGAACCGGGACGGCCAGTTACAGCCAGTGGTGCGTGGTAGCACGCCACTTCTCCGTATTGCCTCGCGGAGGCGTGAAACATTTTACACGTCAGTAGACTAGACATGTGACATTTTTAGTAGATGATAGAGGCACCGGTGAACTCTCCAATGCTGGTGGGCAAGCAGGCAGTCAAGAGAGTGCGTATTTATCTCGAAAATTTTATCTTCAGCCTCTCACGGGACTCTATGGATCAGTAAAATTGTCCATCCTTGCACATGCAGACAACACAGAAAAGGAAATTATGAAGCACTGCTTGATACAATGTTTGATGTGGTAATCTACCCCGATGTTATAACTCTGTGCATTTTCAGTTATAACTCGGCATTTTTTATAACTCTGCATATCTCTTCAGTACATGTAAACTGCATCAATTTAAATGAAACTCACTCAAAAGTGAATGGTTGACGCAAAAATATATATTGCGACAAAATGTACTTCAGCGTTCAACACACGTACATAGGAAAACATCGAAGCGTCAAATACAAAATCCCTCCGGATAAATGCAAACAAGACGACATTATTAGCATCAGCAGCGAACACGAATCGCGGCAGTGAAAGGTAAGAGCATTGTATCAAATGAAACAGCAAATAAACGAAGGTCAGCCCCTTTCACGTCCATCCACCAGTGAGATTATCAAATTGCCGCTTGTTCAGGAACATGACACAGTCCGCGTTCAACAGTTCCAGACCACAAACATGTTTTGTCACGACCACACATCAGGGCACAGGTAGCAGTTCCCGAGCGCCACGGTAAAAGCACGTTAAAAAGTAACATCGCAAAATATACGAGCCATCGATAAAAAGCTCCAGTACGGCGCAATGCTCAAGCATGCCGCTCCCGCTTCACGAAACAACGCGCGCCGCACATACACGGACCCGGCGTATATACGTGACTCGTGGCTACATGGTTCATTTGTCAGTACGTTAGACACGTCCCAATCTCCTAGTTTCTTCTCGAGGACCGCACTTTAACAGGGCTTCATATACGCAGTAATTCGCAAAGCGGTGGGTTCCGTCAGTGGACTCTGCCAGCGGTCAGTATTGAGAGTATCGACCAAGGGGATTAATGGAACTATCACCGGACTTATTTGTAGTTACACCAACTACGAACAGTATCTATACTCCCGAACTAATTTCATCAGACACTTCTACATTTCTTCTAGTGTTGTAGCCACAAGTTTATCTGTATTGTGTGCTCGCACACATGCACGTGCGACTTCACGACACAATCTGCGCTCAAACACACCCATCATGCTGGTGGAACACGTTACAATACCCATAGTTTCCAAAAGTTGTATACAAAAATTGATAGACATATGTTAAATACTGCAACATTTGACGAGAGTACCTAGAGAGGAGAACCGTTTCATAGCACGCAAATGTGCCGAGCGAGCGCCGTCAATACAAGGGGATTCTGTGATAGTAGACACTAAACAGGAGAGATTCTGAAAAAAAACTTTGTCCCAAGACACGACACCTCCCGAATACTGAACCACTACGTCCGTCTCGGCAGCCCTTAAGGAAGCCCGCCCCGTTCACAACACTTACACAATTCATACACTGGATTATATCGCCTACCACATATAGGCTTCAACGGCAGTTTCACGCGTTCACTTGTAACGGCAACGGCGGCAGAAGCAAACTGGTCCAAAGTTGGGGTGTAAAGTGCCTGTTCAGATCTATGGGACAGCAATCGGTGTGCGTTTCGCTTCAAATATCATCAGTGTTGAACTAGGTCATTCCAAAGAAACCTGCCAGGTCAAACGAAAACCTCGGAAACGTTTACACGAGGTTTAACCCACATACTTTCCCTTATCACATACAATGGCGAGATTTGTCAACACGGCTTAAATTGCACACCTTAATGCAGCACATATTTCGCGAATGGGGCTTTGGTTCTACAACCTACCACCTAAGACTAGCAAAAGTGGAAAATGTCCGGAACTTTTCTTGCCACAGTGTTGTGGAGAAATCGAGGGAGACTTACAATGCTAAATCGTATCACACAACATAGGCGTGGCAAGGTATCTGAAAGCAACTTTGTGTGTAAGTCATACACACTTTACTCAACTTTATGCTGTTCCCTAGGCATAGACTTGTGAAAGGATATTACTTGCTAAGGGTCCCAGTCGATCGTAATTGAAACTGTACTTAAATTGAACCTAAGGTGCATCTCATATTCCGTGCATCAGGCTATGGGCCCGGGTTGGGAACATCGCAACTAAAAAGATGTGGCACAAAACAAAGACAGATCCTAGACTGACTAGCTTTCAATAATTCGCGCCCATTTACACCAATGTACTTAGTGGCTTCCTTTGCACCGTCCTAGTAGCTGCCAACCATCACGATAGCCTCTGATCGGCACCGGCCTCCCGTATCGCCCCTGAGCCCACCCGCCTGCCCTCTGCCGGCCGCCGGGCACACTGCAGCCGCCCCGCCGGCCGCTAGATGGCAGTCTCGGCCTTGGCGCGCGGCGCCGCTTCCTCGCCTACCTGATAGGCCACCACGGAGGCGTGGTCCAGCTTGCCGGGCACCACGGCCAGCTTCTCGCAGACGCGCCGGCGGCGGGCGCGCTGCTCGGCCCTGCTCAGCTCCACACCGTCCCCGCCCGTGTACAGCTCCGGGTCCTCCAGAACCCGCCGCTTGGCCGTCGTCAGCCGGAACGCAAAGTCGAGCAGCTGGCAGCACAGGTGCCGCGCGTCCGTCACCCGGCCCTCGCCCTCCAGCGCGCCGTTACGCAGCAGGTCGTCCATGCGCAGGTGCGTGAGCTCATGCCGCTGCAGGGCGGTGACGACGGGCAGAGTAGGCACCACGGCCGGCGGCGGGACGCGCGGCACCGGGCCCGCCGCGATCTGACGGAGGGGGGGGGGGGGGGGAGGGGATGTCAGACTGGTACCGCATTGCGCAGAAACACGGCGACGATAGTTGGCAAGAACAGCGAGACATAATCATGCATAACACCACACACATTATTAGAAAACAACCTTGAGGGATACCAGTAGCTGTACTAATTCCCAACCACACCAAATCGTAACTAGCATTTAACAGACATTTACGGTAATTCATCCATCACCGTCCACCGCTGCCAACCTGTTTGGCTGACCGGCCCTTGGGCACGGGTGTGAGCACCGTCTTGGAGCCGGGCCGCGGCTGTTTGCCCCCTCGGCCGCTCTCGCCCCGAGCTGTGCCGTTGCCCGCCGGTCGCGCGGGCCGACCGTCGGCCTGTCGCGACGCCGCGCCCTCTGCCGATCCCCGCCGCCGGCCGGAGCCGGGAGCCGTCCCCCCGCCGCCCCGGCCGCCGGCAGGCCCTGGAGGCGGCTGGGGTCCGCCAGACGGCTCGTCGGCCTTCTTGGGCAGCACGAACTTGCCGACGACGGGGTCGAAGTTGTCGCTGACGCCGTCACTGGTGAGGAAGATGATGTCACCCGGCTCCACCTGGAGGTGAGAGGGTGGGAGGGAGGGTTAGAGGGGAGGAATAGACAGGGGCGGTGTGAAACGGGATTTAACGAGGAGATACTGGGAAAGATCAGCACTGACACACGTACAGGTGCACACAAGCATGCAGCACTCTGCAAATACCTGAGCCCAAAACCACTAGCCTTTTCTTGAAGCTAATAGCTCGCATTGAAATCCTGCAGCTTTGATAACAATTTAAACAAACCAAGGCATTCATAGATAAGAAAAATGAAAAATCAGCCGCGCAGGTGTAAAAGATAGGCATCACTCGCTCGTCCGACCGTCTGCGGCGCGGCTCTGACCTGAGTCATTGACAGGGTGAGGTTGTTGAGCTCCGGGTTCTGACCAGCCACGGGTCCCAGCGCTCCCAGAGCGTCCCGCATGTCGCGCATGCTGTTTATGTCGTGAGAACCTGTCGGAAGAGACGACCACCGGTTACAGCTCAGTGCCGGATACAGAAGCGGACTTAAGGGGAGCCATGGTGTTGAGGAGTGTATCAGATGAACACCATTTCGTACCCAAAGAACAGTGTAAACACAAACAGTAAAAACACATCTCGCAATTAATACTCCTTGGATCAAAAATCCTTCGCGCGAAGCTAAACATTTTCATCAAAGTATTCCAAAACCTAAAAGCCGTCCAATATTCTACAAACGCTCAAAGCCAGGCAGCCACTCCCTTTAAAAAGTAGCCAGTATTCGCACCCACCTTTGGTGATTTCCCTGACACCATGTCGCGAGCTGAACACATACGCCAGACTATCTCCGACGTTACAGACGCAGACGACGAACTTGGCGCGCGTGCGCCCCTGTGCCAGCTGGCAGGGCACCACGGCGGCGGCGGTGAGGGTGGTGAGCATGCCGCCCTCCTGCAGGATCAGACTGTGTGCCGCGTGAAACGACTGCAGCAGCGCCGCAAACACGTCCTGGGGGAGGGCAGAGAGGCCGAGAGAGTCGGGTTAGCGCGCCGGGAGAACAGAGGAAGGAGTTGGAGATGTATAGCTGTGGCTGGGTCATGGGTGGTTTCAATCAATTTCATAAATCAATATGATGTCTTTATTTAGTCTGATCTGTGAAAAAGTAAAGCATATAACCCGTGAGAGAAAGGTCTAGAAGATTGTGTTTAAGTGGCCAAGTAATTTGAAAATAGCTGATTATGGGAATAAGGTTTTCGTATAGACATTCAGCTCACAAAGTCTCGTGAGAGTAAGAGAATTGAAAGAGTTTGGCATACTTTGTGAGGAAAAGACACGAAGCTGTCAGCGAAATAGTGTCAAGATTTGCATGTTACTGAAGATTAATCTCGTCTCTCGACCGAGGCCCGCAAAAACCGTGGCGAGAGATGCGCATATGGAGATAGAGGAGTGGCGGCGTACTATCTCCATCATACCATTCACCACATCACACGCTATTTCGGGACCATCTACTGCGCCCATCTCTTTCACTTTGCGTCTAGCTCGCCTTATTTCCCCGCGGAATAGCGGAGCCGGCTGCCAAAAATGGATTCAATGCCGCGCCGAGTGGCCGGCTCGGAGCCGGCCGCCTTCGACCAAAACCGGTACGGGGGCGGCCGGACCGGTCTGAACGGGCCCATCGGCACAATGGCGGGTAAGTTGTCACCGACAGGTCCCATTGGATCCAACCGAAATGAATCGCCGCTCCAAGCAGTCGCGCCCAGACTCTGCCCTACTGTGCCGGGGAGAGGGGAGGGGCAGGGACAGCCTTACTGTGCCGGGAGGGCGGGGAGGGGACACTCAGGGCAGCTCGACTCCACCAGACTAGCGTGTTGTCGAGCAGTTAGCGGTGCAGCCGGCTGGAAGTCAGAGGAAGTCCCAACCGCCGCGGTCGATGGGAGAGGGCTGGTATCGATCCCGTGCAGAGTGCATGTCGCCCCCACCCACCCCTGCGCTCCTGTTAACACAGAGGCACCAGGGCCGACCCCGCTGCCGTCCGCGATGACGCACCCGGTGACGGGGTGTCGCCGGGACTGGGGACGGCGGCACGTGGGCGAGCGCCTACATGGGCGTGACGTGCGACAGATAGAGAATCGAGGGGTATTATCCGTGCACACAGACATCGGTGGTGCGTGATGTTTTTACTAGTTTCTAAAAACAGATTCGGGACTGACACCACTACGCAGTGTGGCCTACGCAGTGAGATAGCCGTCTAAAAATGCGTTACGCAGCGCTGGATGTTGTGCACGTACACTGTACACTGTACAGCATACATGCCAACGCAAATGACTTCTTTTGAACCCGATATTAGGAGGAGCTGTGTTATCGCCGCAGAGCACATTGCCTAATAAATGCCGACGCATCTGGTGGAAAAAGGATCAGCCCCGGCTTCGTTGGCTGCAAAAATAGCACGCCAATGCACCTAGAAGACACAAAGGTGATCCTACTCTTATTTACATGATATCCGTCTCATCAATCCCGTGTACCAAAACCCACCACTCAAGTCATTCTGCGCCTCTCCCATGACACCCTTGGGCCTTGACTGTCGTTATACTATATATTCTGTGCGCCCACACCCACCTGTGTGCTTTGCACGCTGGCGGCGGCGCCGAACAGCGCCCGGTTCAGGTAGTCGAGGCAGCCGTGGACGGCGCAGCGCGCTGCCAGCCGAGCCTTCTCGCCCCAGTTGACGCCGTCAGCCAGAGCTAGCAGGGCGCTGTTACTCCGACATACCACGCCGAACGCGTCGGCGATCGGTTCACCTGCGGACAGCGGGGTCGGGGGTGAGGCAGTTTGACACAAAAGGGGCCGGTGTGGAGCGAGTATGAATCCAATGACAAGAACATGTGCTTGAACCGGCAATATGCAGCGGAAGATGTGGGAGCTTGAGAAGACGCTTAACTGTAACGGACATGTAACTACGGAGAACGGACTCCTCAAATGTGTTTTGACATCTGTTCAGCAGTCAACAGGTTTCACGCACGTTAAACTGCGCGCCCGCCGCTGTTCGGCGCTGTTCGATATCCGGCCCCCTCTATTGTACCCAGTCACGAAATGACGTGACCCGAACACTAGGTCAATGTGACCCGACACCGCACCCCATTACATAATGAGCTCCTGAGCACGATACGCTAACACGCGCTGTTGGTACCGCCTCGGCCTGACAGCTGTGGCCGGGGTAGGTCGGGCCCTCCCGACACGCTAAAAACGAGATGGTTTTTAGCGTGTAAAGAAAAAGAAATGGTTCGTAAAAAGAAATGGTTTCGGTGGTTTCGGAGAAAACACCGAAACCATTTCTTCGTAACAACAGAGTTACTCCAAAGTTTGATTCAATCAAAGAAATAATTTCTTTCGATCATGTTACGGAACTTTCGATGTCGCTACAAAACGAGCAACACGAAAACCGTTTCAACGTCTCTCACTCACAGTTGAACTACACGCATCACATAGGATGAGTCCCACCGACCTCGCCACCCTTTCCTCCTCCCTCCCTCCATGAACCTGACTTTCCCTGCTTGCTCACTGTCCATGCTTCTGTCCCCTCTCTGTCCCGCGTCCCCGTCCCTGGCCCGTCGCTGTCCCGTGTCGTGTCCCACGCCCTGAACTCTCCCTGCCACGTGTCCCCACGCCCCCGACCTCCCCCGTCCAGTGTTCCACGCCGCTGACCTCTCCCCGCCCGTGTCCCCGGCCGCTGACCTCTCCCTGTCCAGTGTTCCCCACCCCTGAACCCTCCCTGCCCTATGTCCCCCACCCCTGATCCCTCCCCTCCCGTGTCCCCGGGACTGACCTGCGTGCACCCCGGTGACCGGATGACACTCGTACAGCGACACGGAGCTGCCGAAGGCGCGCGGGTGCGGTCGGTTCCAGTTCACTGTTCCAGCGATCTCGTCATGCTGCGTACGCCGCAGGCACTCGTCTGGAGAAGCGGGTCAGAGGTCATCGCGGGGACAGAAAAAAGGTCCATTAGGGTCACACATAACTGTATGGTAACTTAGGATTACAGAGATGGCGATGGCCACTAAGTGCAAAATATAAATATAACAGGCATATAGAAATCGACCTCGAGAGCTGTCAAGGAAATAAAGCTAAGTAGCAGTGGGTCAAGGGCATATGCCATTATCGATAGTGATATCGAATACCTTACTCCATTCAAAGTGAATATTTTCCTTAATTTTAAGCTAATGATTGCGAAAGTCATCCAAACCTACGTATTCCTAGAAGATCGTAACACATGCACTCGGGGCATACGACAAGTCCTCTTTACATTTACAAGCATACGGCGAACCAAGTAAAATCATCATTTGCAATACAAACTAAATCAGCAGCACAGCGTGCAAATGGCGTGCACGCGTGCACCGTACGCTCTGTTCTACTCTGCAGGCGGCGCGGACAGCCGTGCGGTCGCGCGGGGAAAGTGAGCGCGGTGTTCGTGCACGGTGGGCACCCCGTGTGATACCATCGGCCGTCCCACGGCACACCGACACAGTGATCGGGTACACGGGACCGAGCGGCACCGGCCGGCCGCGAGCGAGCGGTGTAGCCCGTTAGGTGGGCCACGATCGAGCTTCGTCGATAGTATACGGAAATTTTGAGTGATAATTTTGATTTTATCACATAGTTCAAAAGAAGGCGTCACACATGGATAAAATATAACACCAATCACAAACCACCACGCACCCAAACTGATAAGCTGTGTGATGAAGTCCTGAAAACGAATGGTAACGTAAAAAGAGTGTCATTCATTTCAGACAACTAATTATTTAGTGGTTTTCACTTCAAAATATTGATTATTTAGGCGGCAGGCGGATCCGAAAGTTGGAAGCATAGCCAAGCTAGTCTTGATGACTATCATATCGAAAAAAGAAAATGGTCGAACAAAAATTAAGCGACTGAACACTTGTTTTTGTTCACGCTCAAACAAAATCAAAAGACAATCATCCCATTTCCAACTTTGATCCACTCCGCACCAGCCCTGATGATTTATAAATCACGATGTGAAATACTGTTAGTCAAATGCGTTAAATGAAACCAAAACAGCAGTGATATGAAAGGCACAGTCAAAACACCGCATGCAACAAAACCAGACACTAAACCAAGCGAAACTGTAAACGAGATGTCAGAAAAAAGGAAACCACGCCAGGCGCGAATAGCGACGCAGACGGTGTCAGATGAATTAGCGGCGTGCTCCGTTAGTCTCGCTAAAAGTCAGCTCCCACACAGTCTGCGGAGCACACAGAGCCGCGCCTCAACCCGTATCGCTACAAATGCGGAACAGACGAAGAGCTAACCACGGGCACTAGCGTCGGCACGGCTCGGCCTGGCAGCGCGCCCGTCCTGTGTCGGCGGCGAGGGGCGGACAGGACACGCGGGAGGCAAAGCGGCGGTCCGCAGGTGACACTCGTGCACACGTGCAGCGGCCGGCCGGCTGAGCTGGGTGGGTGCCCGTGCGCGCCTTACCGGGCCTCGTGTACCGCTGGTAGCCGAGCAGAAGGGCGCCGCACGGCTCGGCCGCTGGCCGGTCCGGGCCGCTCTCGGAGTCGGAGGAGCGGCCGTCCGGCTCGCCCCTCCGGTCCCGGGGCGGGGTGCTGACGGCCGCCGGGCCGCCCGCCGCGTGGATCGGGGTACTGGTGGCGGCAGGCGCGGCCGGCGAGCCGGGGGGACAGAACGCCGTCCGCTCCGGCACCGGCCGGCCCGCCGAGGAACCCGACACTGACGGGAGAGGGTCTCCAGCCGGGGCGGTATCTCCTCCGTGAGTCGTACCACCCTCTGCTGGCTGCTCCACCACCTCTTTGGGAACTCCCGGCGCTGCCGTGTCCCGCCCCTCCTCCCCGACCCTCCCTGTGGACACCTCCCCCGTCTGCACCGGGTCTATCGCAGACCGGTCGCCAGTAACGCAGCCCGAGTCGACCTCGCTGCTGCGTTCAAAGCTGATGAAACTCGCGCTTCTGGCCGGGCTCTCCAGTTCAGAGGTCGGTATTTGACTGCAGCTGCTGCCCAGCCCGCCGTCCAGCTGAGAGACCGACCCCTCCCCGGCCACTCCGCCATCCCCATCCGCACCGGGGAGTCCATTGGGCTGTGACGCGTCCTTTGGTTCCCGGTCTGGGGACGACTTTAGCTCCTCAGTAGCGTTGGTGGGAGTGGGACAGTCGTCAGAGGAGCGGCCCGTCGGTGAGGAGCGCTCCCTCGCAGCGTCCTCCCCGTTCACCGTCCTCCCGTCCTCTCCTCCGGGGGAGCCGGGAGCCGACACTGGCGTCGCCGCCGTCGGAGTGGCCGCCTCCACCGACACCGGTCCAAACTCCTCCAGAGAGGAGGGTCCCAGGTCGTCCAGGGAGGCGGCGGCCCTGCCGGCGGCCGGCGGCCCGCCCAGGTTAGGTAGCGAGTCGCTGTTGGTGCTGCACAGCGAGGTCATCATGGTCTGTAACAGCTCCTCCTCCTCGTCCAGCCGGTGGTCGCTGAAGCAGCGGCGCGCCGGCAGCGTCTGGGCCTTGCAGCGCGCCAGGTCGCCCTGTCGGATGCGGTACCAGCGCTCGTAGGGCACCGGCGGCGAGCGGGGCACCCAGGTGGGCAGCGTCAGGTTCCCGGCGAGCCGCTGGCGCGGGTAGTGGAGGCGCGCCAGCCGCGCCGCCAGCGACGTACCGTCCGCGGGCGCCGGCTCCTCCTCCGACTCGTCGTCTGAGTCGATGTAGTTGATGCCCGGCTCGCTGGAGGTGACCGGCTGGGCGCGGTGCGGCACGGCCGTCAGCCCGCCGGCCGGGCCCGTGTAGGCGGCCACCACGGTCGGCTGCAGCGGGCCGATGCGCTGCTCCGGCAGCTGAGCGGCATCCCGCGCGTGGTCAATGGCCACCTCCGAGCGCGACAGCTCGCTGGGGACAGGGAAGGAGGGTTAGGGAAGGGAGTGGCTCACATATTCTGGTCTAGATGTAAGTAGCAATGCCTGGGGTGTAATTCATCAACTAAATTGATAGGGATTTGTCTGGAATCTGTCAGTTTCAGCACATTAAAGCAAAATACACTGCAAAACTAGGGTATTATTTTGAAGAAAGTTAATATCAGGTGGCTACTGGCTGTATCATGCTCAGGAAAAAAAGATAGGAATCTGGTGATAACTGGTGAGCCCACTTCACTTCTGAGTATAACAAATGTCCAAATATCAATGGGTCCATTTAAGGATCAATAGTAGTACAAACCAAAGTTCATAGACCAATAGGTAGTTGCCATCAACACATCATGATCAAAGATCCAAAACTGATAGGGCAATAGTCAACAAAAGTTTTAGTAGTCAGAATGTCACCTGGATGAGACTAATGAGCAGGGAAACAGAAATACAATGCACTATATTGACTCATTAGTCACTGATAATCACGTCACATCTCATCACCATCACATGAATGCTAATTTCTAAAGGCATTGCAATCATACAGCTGCATTCAGTCTGGAATAATACTTGATAAAGCATAACTATTCTTATTACTATTTGACACATATTTCACAACCATTCTAATACACAGAAATTCTAATAGAAAATGTCAAAAGGAAGGGCAACCTCAATAAGCAGGGTAAGCCACACCAGTATTCTCTGATGAGTCTCGTACTCACCCATTAAGATACTTAGTGATAAAGCATCCATCAGTGTTCCCACGCAGATCAGCAACAGATTGGTCAGCTGCAGCACAGTGGCTATTGCTGGATAGCTGCCGCAAGAATCCAGCAAACCTTTTCTTGATATTGGAAGGCATTACTCATTCAGGTGACAAACAATCAGTATCAATTTATTTCTGATGATGAATTAAACCTAGCTTACTGAATAGCTATATATCTGCTCAGAACTGCACCATAAACTAGGAATAAAATCACATAATTCTAAAAATGCGCTGGAAAATGGCAAAAGGTCAGATCTTGATTTGCATTTGCACATCTTATTAAATGGATCATCAAATAAGGAAACAAAAATAGCAGGACATGTGTAGTTAAGAGTATGCAATCAAATGACAGGCCCAAATGTTTTAAAACGGACTGACATAAGAGATAAACCACCGCCCACCGTCACCACCCCTCAGCATTTTCACAACTTGAACTGGGAGCTGGGAGTTGGCTGCTGGGAGTTGATGTGATAGATAGAAAATCACAGCCAAAAGGATGCAAAGTGTTCAATAACTCCTTTCTTTGTGCTTGCACAGCCTAACGCACATATTTAAACGAATCACAGACGTGATTGGACAAAAAAAGGCTTTTTCGAGAACAATTACGAACAGGTAAAGAATTGAAGAAAGTGCGCCACAAATGAAAAATATTTGTATATTTTTTCTTATTTTTATCCTCCATTTTTATGCTATCATCTTACGTCATTAGAACAAATACTCATAGGGTGTCAATATTTTTGTTTCAAGAAATACCGAAAAACGTCATGAATTTTGGTCAATTTATCCTCAGTTATGTAAGAAAAAAAATATTTCGAACATTTACATAAGCCATAAAGCAAGATTGATGCCTTGAAATGCGAATTAATATATTCTCATGACGTAGCAAATATCAGGAATGAAACAGCATTAAATATTGAATATATTCTGCATATTTGCTGAAGTTGGGAGGGTTGCGGTTTCTCTTGCTTGTCTGCGTTGTTGTGTGGGGCAAGTGCAAGGGCAAGTGTGTGGTTGGTGCAGGTTGGTGTGTGGGGCAAGATTACTTACTAGTTGTCAAGTTACTAATAGGGTGGGGTGGTTGCGTTGTTACCTTGCAAGGCCCTCTCTAACCGAGTTTTGGTTGGGTTCATGGGAGTTCCGGGAGTTCTCTAGCGTTAGGCTCGTGTTGGAAAGCTTGGGCCTGCCCAATACTGGCTAAACTTGTAAAATTGTTGACTTGAAAACAGATAAACTTTTGTGTTTTCAGATACTGGCACGCTCATAACAATAAGATCAAGATGGCTCACCGCTGCAAGGCATCTAACCAGCTCAATGACTTCAAAAGGACCTGTGTGGTATGTTGTGTTATTTATGGTCGAGAATGATCTTGCTTTGTATGATTAGCTCAGCTGTAGTTATATTTAAATAGTTTACACTTTACAGTGACCATTCTGATTCTTTTCATTTCTTTCAGATTTTGTTTTTAGACTCAATTTTAATTGCATACTCTAGGTAGCAAAGTGCTATCAAGAATGATAGAACATTTACTAATATATCCCCTTTTACATGCTTCTGTCGCAGGCTCCTGAACAATGCACCACCAGCCAGGGTCACCCGATGGACACAAAGACGGCATCCCTGACAGCTGGGCCACGCGGGCCGCAGCTCATCCAGGACCACAGCTACATCGACGAGATGGCCCACTTTGACCGGGAGAGGATTCCAGAGCGGGTGGTACATGCCAAGGGTGCAGGTAGGTGTCTCATGGGTCGTCTGCTCCTGTCTCTAGCCCCAGTGTTCCATTTTTCAGACTTTGGTGGTAAATCACACCTCATGGGGAAAATATTTTCATCCCTAAAGTATGAATGACTGACTTTACTTCATCTCTGAAAAAGTTTCATGTAGTCCCAACCCAACAGCCAGTTTACACATCACTTGACAGTTGATGCACTCACATCCTTTTGTTTCACACCCTGTCAAGATCCTGACATGAAATCCTGGTTTATCAGTTGGGATAAAAATTGGCATTACACCGTTTTGCAAAAATAATTCAGTTATTTACTTCCTTTTTTCTCATCCTAAGATTTTTTTCTTCATCGGCACACCCAACCAATATCCAATTTTAGAACACTGTCTAGCCCTGGAAGCAGGGTGTCCTCTGATTCAGGACTGCTGAGTATTGCAGAAAAGTTGATGAGCTGGACCAGCTGCACCAACCAGGCTGGAAATCCATGTTATCATTTCCAGAGTAGGCCTGAAAATTTGAGATATAATCTGAGTTCTGACTTAAATAATGACTATTTTAAAATAAAATTTGTGATTGCTGACTGGCTATCACCTCTGATTATCAGATACATGATTCTATTACATGGTGCTGTGCTAACATCATGCACCTCAGTAAGGCCCTCACTGCTCAAGTGACAAGCGATGTGCGAAATACTGCAAAAATCTGCAAAGAAATATTCTTGGTACCACGGAAATCCTCGCTGACTGATCGTCGATTGAGAACTGATCGACCATGCAGATGACATCTCTCTCACATACATTTTCATATTGTGCACACCCTTGGCGAGAATTAGCTGGGATTGGGGAGCCGAGTGTATAACACGGAAAGGCTGATAAAACAGCTGTTTGGAAGGAAGATAACCATCTCATCGTTCATTTCTAGTAACGCACATGAATGGGTTTATTGGGAGTGCCGTCCTCTCCGTCGTCTATCCGTCCAGTCTCCCTGACTCTAACCGGGGGACTACTTGTGCCGCCAGGTGCGTTCGGCTACTTTGAGGTGACTCACGACATCACGCGCTACTGCAAGGCGTCCGTGTTCTCCGAGGTCGGCAAGCGGACGCCGCTGGCAGTGCGCTTCTCGACTGTGGGAGGCGAGAGCGGCTCTGCCGACACCGTGCGCGACCCGCGCGGCTTCTCGCTGAAATTCTACACGGAGCAGGGCAACTGGGACCTGGTCGGAAACAACACACCCATCTTCTTCATCAGAGACCCCATCCTCTTCCCCAGCTTCATCCACACGCAGAAGAGGAATCCTGCTACTCATCTGAAGGTGAGTGGGTCTCGCGAAAGTTAAGCGTTAAGTCTGAGTCGGGCTGCTGTAGCTGATGCATTGTAAGATCAATGGAGCTGCGATTTAGATATGAAAATGGGTTGTTAAAGGCATGATAAATGTGAGAGAGTAATGCGATTCTTCGTACCTAAGAATAATTGAACGATCCTTGCATTAGCTGGCTATTACTTGGCTATTAGTTGGCAAATATGCGCTGTTAACGTCGTGCGTATCCAGCCTAACCGTTACATAAGGTGTCACTGCGTAGTTGTCTGGCGTAGGTAACTCCCACTATCCAGTTGAGTTTTTGCACCCTGGTGACCTCCGCCAAATAAACCACATGTTTTATTGATATCCTTCAGATGCCTCCCCAACCTACAGTGCGTCCCCTCCCCCCCCCCCCCCGCAGTGCGTCTATGGGTGTGTCTGGGAGGGTGAGTGTGATGACTGGGAGGGGTGTGTTTGTGACGCAGTGACTGGCCAGCGGGACCATTGGCCTGGCCGGGGGAGGGGGAGGGGAGGCTCGCCAGGCCCAGATAATATAAACGATCCCTATACATGGCTCCCTGGCTACGGTCGGCCGCAGGCCGCAGGCTTTATGTGGTGTGTAAATGACCCTGAAGCTGTTTGGCTGCTCTTTGAACTAACAGCTGCTCTGAAAAAAAGTTTCAAACTCCTATCCCAACCTTGATTTTTCGGATTTTGTGTCAGACGCTGCTTTAGATTAGCGAATAATTGTTACTAGAGATGCAAGAGACGTCTAGTAGATCATGGAAACAAAAAGGCGCCGGGACATGAATAATACGTTCGCAGAGGAGTGAAACTGGCTTTCAAATTGTTCCAGAGCGCCATATATACTCTTAATGAACTCCGATAGTACCACCATTTCGCCTAATCTATGCATAGTTTCACGCCGATTGGTGTGAAAATCAGCAAGGGAGCGATGTAAGTGACAGACATGCACCAGTCATAACGTCAGCCAAGGCCTAATCGGGTTATATAAGCTGTCATGTACTGTGTACGAGGCGAGAAAAAGTTTGATCTCGAGACCGCATACGGAGGTCACTGATGCGGATAGTCCTTCGATTTGATCGAATCATACTTCTAACCAATTCTGACGATGATTTTCACATGTTGTCGCGTCCTGCTGGTTTTTTTTAGACCGGGTTAGCTGATGAGTGAAATACTGCCGACTCATCTCTTGCCACATGTCTGCAGTGTTTTGTCGCCCCTCTGGCGGTGGGGCTGGACCGGGCAGGGGAGGGGTGCCAGGACTTGTAAACATACCCGGCGGGCGGTCACGTGCCCGTGTCACGTGACAGGACGGCGGGCGGCCGCTATGGTCACGTGGCTCGGTCCAGGAAAGGGCCGGTGCTGACCAAGTTTCTTAGTTAGGACATTGTTTCGGTGGTGTTTTTGATGAGACGCGTTCCCCGAGACAGTGTGCCGACGGATATGTCCGATGCCTTCGCTTTCGACAGTAGTTTCCCTGTTTTGTCATCAGTGGAACACTGGTTCGACGTCTTTGCACCGGAATCACACGATGAAACGTCAATGACAGTCGACACTGTGATAAAGTTTCATCAACATGAAATCGAAATATCATTGGATCGGATCACTTAGAATGCACGTGACTGTATGGGTTACCGGATTAAGCCCGTTCAAAAATTGGTAACGGGAGCAATTGGAGGATATGGTGCCAAGGGAACCGGTGCAGGTAGGGCGTTGTATTACAAGATATATAATAGGACAGTCAGCTCTCACGTCCTTACTTTCCATTATAAATGGTACTCATCCTGGTTGATTGGCTTACGCAACGCAACTCGGTCGTCTGCCCGCAGGACGCGGCCATGTTATGTGACTTTATCACGCTGTGGCCGGAGACGAGAGTGTCCAGCAATGATCTAACGCTGTGACTTCTCTCTGTTTTGTCAGGACGCCGACATGTTCTGGGACTTCATCACGCTGCGGCCGGAGACCACACACCAGGTATCGTTTCTGTTCTCGGACCGCGGCATCCCTGACGGTTACCGGCACATGAACGGCTACGGATCGCACACCTTCAAACTGGTCAACGACAAGTGTGAGCCCGTCTACTGCAAGTTCCACTACAAGGTGAGCGACGGCGCCGCAGACGCAGATACAAGGGACGTTATTTGAATATGTTGTGATTGCCAACACTCCCTCACGGAGGCCGGCCGGCCAGCGCCTCTGTTCTGTGACACTTATATGCGACAAGTGGTTGGAGTGGCGGTATTCCTAAGCCTTTTTTTCGATGCTCGATATCTGTGATATATGGTCACTGCTGTTAATTGGATATCCGAAGTTGTCATGTTTGAGTGCCTCTGATAAATTTCCCATTTTCTCGCTTTATCTGGTTCAGTCAGGTCACATTGATTGTCATTAGCACTTAGCA